GGAATGCCAACATGCTCTAACACCGTTTCCCAAACTTTTGGTATCTGGGGCCAACTTGTTTTCTGGTTTAAAGTTGGCGGTACGCTTCACTCTTAATACCCAAAAAGCTAAATACTTGTAATATATATATTTCAAAGAATATAACATTCCATTCCCCTGCTATAGGAAATCATACCAGTGTTGAAATGTACTGTTAAAAAATTACACCAAAATAAAAAGCTGTGCCCTGCTCTTTCCACTGTCCATGACTCCTGGTCTGTATGTCAGGGGACAAGGACAGCCCCTTCTGCTGAGGTGGCTCTTGCAGGGTCTTACATGCCAGTGACCACCCCAATGGCTCTTTCTGCCAGCCCCAGGAGCATTGGAGGGATGGAGGGGATGAGCTGGACTGCAAAGTGCAGCTCCATCTGTGCATCCACCCACCTGCCTGCACACAGCAGAGCATGTTGCTGGGAGTGGGGGGCGAGGGGGGGAGGAGAGGGGGACTGCCTGGGGATGGCCTGGGGTAGGGGGTGTGCAGCAGCAGGGGCAGGCACAGGGTGTTAGGCTGGGGAGGAGAGCATTTAGCTCCTCACAAAGGGGGATCTTCCAATACACGTCTGTCACCTGCGGCACAGCCTTTAGGAATCACTTCTCTAAAATGTCATTGCACACTGGGAGATACTGTGGCACTTGAACTGCCAGTGTTACCCAGTGAAATGCAAGCAAATGTTAATTGTCTGAATAACTTCTGACAACATAGCCAAACATAGCAGTGAGAATCTAATGACATTTTATACCAACATTTTGATAAACTGGTAGGGCCCAGTTGCCAAACCTGACTGAATCACAAGACTGTGTAATATCTCACATTTGGCTGTTCAGATCACCATGTTGATGTAGAAATGAGTGCTATGAGCATTCTTACATGGGCCATCCTCTTACACTTGCCCTGCTTGGTATATGGGCACTCCACATAAGTACCAGGACCAGGACATCATCTTTCACTTTCTTAGAAATGGGTGGGTCCATGTTTTAGGAGCTAGTTCAATGATTCATAACCACGGTGCCTTGAGATGCTTTCAAGTGTGTTGCAGGGTGCCACACATTGTTAGCACTGTTAGGTTTATAAAAACAATTCACAAATTCAGTCCAGAAATTTCAAATAAAAATGTATAGTTATGGTCTTTGTGTTCTTTGCAACAGAAAATCTCTATTAAATATTTTTTCTGTAGGCAACAAATTAGTCACAACTGAGTTGGCATCTTCCAAGGGGTGCCTTGAGTTGAGAACCACTGAGCTACTTTAATTAATAGCTGATACAAGAATAGACATAGTGGATAGTGAAGGTGAAAGTTAACAAGTCCCAATCTTAACACAGGTAAATCAGGGATGTCATGCGCTCACGCTCAAGCACTTAAGAGCCATATTCGTTTTTCCTACTGCATTCCGTGGAAACTGTATTTTTTAATAAACAATACAAATTGCACTGATGCTTGTATGGCATCACCACCCACCACAGCATTCATTGTCATAATATCACAGCAGGTTCTTTGGGCAGATCTAGGATTTTGGAAAAGAGGGGTGGCACATGGTCAAGTACATCATCATCACATCACACGCGCACATTTTTTCTCCAGGTAAAAAGACACTAGAAGCCTGACTCATATGTTAGGGGCCTAGGGCTATATTATTCAGTTTAAGACATGCAAAAACAAATATAACTTTACTGGAATAAATTAAAAACAGTCTGTCCGGCTGTGAAATAGGAACAACATTATCAAGAGCAGCAGAATTGCAGAAGAAAGGGTAGCTTGATTAGTGGAACATCAAGACCATTAAAGGAGAGAGGGTCATCAACACCTGTGGAATGAAGAGCTTAGAAGGAGTCAGATGATAATGAACCATGAAGTCAACTGACTCCCCCAGCACTGCCTGAATAGAAATGCTGCTTCTACTGCCAGGCAGTTGGGTTTTAAACTGGGTGGACCAGAAATCAAAGTGGGGGAGGATGCAATCTACCCCAATTGTGTCCCTGAGCAAGGGTAGCAAGAGCAGGTTAACTTCATTCTTACCTCTCAGCGGATCCCTGGTCTCAATGACCGGTACAACAGTGCCAGGGCCATATCTCACCATGTCTGGTTCCCAGGGTGCCAGAACTTTGTCTCCAGGGAGTATGCAGTGACTCATTCCATGGCTATACTCAAGGATGTCATCCTTGGATGTTTTTTGCACGTATGCTGGATACTTTTCACCCAGTGCAGGTGGCTTGGCAAACTCTATCAGATACATTCCACTCTCCTCCTGCTCCCAGGACAAAAGAGAATTACAATGAGGCCTTGTATTGTATATCAGTCAGCAGGCCAGTCCATGATTGTTTAGACTAGGCCAGAACTCCATGGACAGCTTAAAGCATGACAGCAAGCAGCCCATGCTCTATTCGTCTGGAATCTAGAGAACTGGGAAGAACTCCAGGAGGCCATCTGCATCCCCTAGCCTCAGTCAAACATACCCAGTACCTCCACTACAAATAAGTCCTGTATTTTCCCCACTGCAAAAGATACTATAGGCTGTAATCCATACAATACTGATTGGATGCCACAAACCAGTGCATAGACGGGCAATGATAAAGCACCCCAAGGCAATGCAGGCCTATTCTCTATCACTCTTGAGCCCTCTTTCCTTACATGCAGGAATTTAATTATTTAAAAACAGTGAAGGGACTCAGCATCAAAAAGTGAAGTGAGCCACTCCCTTGTTCTTCAGAAAGAATAGGCCCTTTTTTCTTTGAAGTTTTAACTGCTAACAACTTAATGAATTAAAGCTTTCACTACCGTCTCTGAGAAGACATGCTGTGCCATAGTTTGCAGAGGACGAAAGGTGTAAGTGTATACATAACACACTAACACCTTTCCAGCAATATTGATGTTTATCTGTCTATACACAACAAGACCTGGGACCCTCTCCATCATAACAATATTCATCTCAAATTGGCCTAATGCCCAGCATGACTGGCACAGAAACAAAGAACCTCTTTCTGCAAGGTCCTGAGTGCCCCAACTCTCAGCAGGAGCAAAGGGGTCTCACAACCTTGCTGGAGAGGGCCAAATGGGCAAACCCCCAAAGAAAGAACTGGGAGGGGGAGGGAAGTGAGGAGTCCCAGGGCAGAGCGTTCTAACTCAAATAGGAAGACCTGGGCTCCAGCCTGAAGACAGATTTACACAGTGCTGGAGGCACCCTCCCTGCTGGAGGCACCCACAATGCTGGAGGGCATGCTGTAACAGGGTCTCTGGGCTGCAGTCTCTCCTTACAGCCTGGCAATCTTGGGGGATAAAAGCAAAGATATTATCATTAAACCCAGGCAAGATGGTGTGGGGAGCAGCAGAGAGTGGTCTAATACCTAAGGACTACACTGAATTAAAACTGTGTACCGTCCAGATAAAAAACTTGGACTAACTCCGGCAAGGAAGTGGGACATGGAGTGAAGGACAGTGGTCACAATGTTTCAAGCTGATGAAAGGAAGAGTGAGCATCCTGATACAGTATAAAGGAGTAGTATCACCATAGGGACTTCTCTATTGAACTCAGCCTCACAGTCCTTCTCTCCCAAGCAGCAGCCTATCTTTCTGAACAGTGTGTGTTCACAGTCCTTCCCCTGTCAGAAGAAGCAAACCGTAGATCATCTCCTGAGGTGCCCTGTAGCACCACAATGCACCGCACAAGACTTGACAACACTAACACCAGAAGCAGTGACCTGTGCAAAATATTGGGAGCAGATTATATAAAAAAGGTTGGACTAGAGACATGACAAAGAAGAATCCTTCCCCAAGATTAACAGCCCCTCATAAAGGCCAAGATACTTTTCATAAAGTCAGACCTATCAGGAAGACAAGGCACAGCCAAGGAAACAAACAGCTGGTAACACAGCCGTATATGGTATCCCAAGCCATTGTGCACAGTATGTCATGAAAAAGGTGCATGGGATAAGTGCTATGGCTAAGTTGGATACTGTGACTCCTATGCATGGCTCAGCTTCTGGCCTCCCCTCTGCCTATCTGCAGCAGCTGAGTTCAGAACTGGCATTGAAACCCTGTGCAATGCGCTGAAGGCACCGAGATCCGCCCAAGGCAGTGCCACTCAGCTCAGCCTATTTCAGGGCTCAAGGGGTGGAAAGGGTGCTCATTAAAGACTCAGAGCAATCCCTGTGAATGTTACCCATGTCTTGTAGGAAGTCCACTACATAATCCATCTAATGAATGGATCTCCCTGTACATTATGTTATCCAGGCAGGATAGAAAACACTAGTTACTTACCTTGATCTCCTGTTTTATTGTACCTCGGTAATAAAACCCATCTGACTCCCTTCTTGCCAGAACAGGAACATTAGCAAAGTCCATAGATTTTTCCAGCACCATGAGACCCTTACATATTGTTTCAGGGAAACAGGGACAGTGCCTGATCCATGAGCACCTTGAATTAAAAAGCAGTGGATTACTGTTAGGAGAAAATCACTTCCCTAAGTCAGGTGAAGAACACCTCCCAGGGCCAGAACCAGACACCTGCTTTCTGCTATTCCCATTGTGCAAAGTAGGTGGAAAAGTGGTATAAGCAGCTACTTAATAGTAGGAAAATCCTGTGATTCTGGGCTGATGTGACTTAGAGCAGCAGTCAGTCTTGCTCTTGCTGTGAGCAATTGGTTCCTGGCTGGCTGAAATCAAGAGACAGACAGGTACCAGCCACAAAGCTATCCTGAACTAAGCACAGCTTAGCTGGACCTGAGGATTAGGACTAGACTAAGGCTAGGTCAGGGCTAATAGCTTACGGTGGGCCACAGTAGGGAAGGATGAACACAGTAAAAGGAAAAGACAGAGAAAAGCAATTTAGTAAAGTCAAGTTGACCATTGGTGACTGGCTTAGGCTCAACACAGAAAGGAAATTTACTGTCCCAAAACATCATGAGGACAGCTTCACAGAGGATGGTTGTTAGGCACATTGTGATTTTGGGCATCTGTATAATACTAGAAGACTTTTTCACATAGCAGGCTTACTAGTTGCTTTCAATTGTCCACAATGTTGCAAGATAATTTTGGACAAGAACATTCTAAAAAGCTGACAAGGAAAAAATACAAAGCAAAACTCTAATTATGTTTAGTTTGCCAGTCAATCAAAAGCCTCTATGCTTTTGTTTCTTATTAGCAGAGACTGGGCATAAGGAGGCAAACTGCAGACACAAACAGCAACTTTACCTTACAGGGCTAAGGGAGCTGGTAACCCAGGCAGGATGAGTGATGAAGGATCCACTGGAGAAGGGATAACCATGAGTTATAAAGTTGGTGCATGAGACTTTATCGTGTGCTGTCATCATGCTGCAGTACTTGTGATCTGCAAACAAGGACTGATCCATTCCCCACAGAACCAGCTACCTAAAACAGGGAATAATGACAGTGCTGGTGCTTGAGGTGAATATACACCAGATACCAAGGATTTAATCTAGTCTACCATATAGCTAATTCATTACCACAATAGCCAAGCATTGCCAGTGGATCACTAAGAAATTAAAAATATTTATTAACTAATGCATTTCTTATATAAGAAAATTGATCAGAACTTCACTTTCCACTGAAATTCAGCCACCTCAGGGGTGAATGCAACAGCACTGTAATAGTGCAGAGCAACAGGAAGTGGAGAATAATGTATTTCATTGAAATCACAGGCAGAGTTTACGTAGGTTGAATATAATTGTCCAGAATGCAGTTTAGGTAGGCCAAAAAGTATTAGGGGGGGTTAACAACCTTATTCCAGCAAAAACTGATTAAATTCTTCCATCAACTTTAACAGGCTATAGGGTGAGACTCTTAGAGGTATCTATATGAAAATGGAAAGTCTTAGGAAAAGTGCCATGGGATTTTTTACACCAGTTTTACAACTAGTCCTTAATAGGACAGTGCTCTGATGCCATTCTGGGACTCAGACTTGTGCCAAATACTGCCGCACCTGAGAAGGTTCCCACCTGCAGACTGTCTCCAGCCCAACCCTTCATATTTTATGTGCCCCCCCCGCCCGCCCCCCAAACAAACAAACAAAATTGGAGGTAGAGCTGAGTAAACTCAAAGACTGAATATTATGCTAGATTACAGCTGCTTGTTACTCATGTGTGATTTATAGTGATGTTTAAATGGGAAATATTTTGATCTAATGTTCCATCCTGTTTTATAATGACAGACAATGCTTTGCCAAGAGAAGGAAATCGTGCTCAGATGTGACAAGTGAAGAGGTAACTATTCTGTGGCTGTCATGGTAAAAATGACAACATAAGCGTAACTGCCAGTAATGTGGCAAGATTTAACGTAGATTTCCAGCCAAGCTTGTATATCACCTCAGAGATGTTTGCACACTTGGGGGAAAATTTTCACGCTGAAAGTCAATAGGACTTAATCTTCCAGGTGTTTAAATTGCTTTTGAAAATGAAACTGAGGCTGTGATGTATCTTTGCTTTTAAAAATGATACCATTTTTTAAAACAAATGTAATGATACAGAACAAACATGATGGTAAACCTTGTGATAGTTCAGCAAATTCCATGAATAAAATAGTTTCTTTAAACAATAACCACCAGACCCAAATCATAAACCATAATCATCTCTGCAAATATTATCAGACTAAATAACAGAAATTATATGGATAGCTTTCTTTATATAATCAACAGATTCTCAAACTGTGACACCAAAAGATTGCTGACATCATGAATTTTAAATTATTGTCTGTGTTAACTATCATTTTATTTTTAATATTCCATTTAAACTAATTTCTGAGTGAATATGATGCTGGGGACACCTATTGGCATAAGGGGAGGAAGGGTGAAAGAATGAAGTTCCCTGTTGAGTTTCCCAATGGGTACAAAGTAGGCAGGAGAAAGCACAGACCAAAGAGAAGAGTCTAGTAGAGAAGTTTCAGCTACTTAAACAAGCAGTTCTGGGAAAGGCATTTATTGAACGTACCAGTTATAAAGAGTATTGAATCTTGTCAGCGCAGCTTCAGAAATCCTGCTCCTTTTCCTGCCTGATGTGGAAAGTAATTCACTGCCAGTGTTTTCTAGTTACTAAGCAGGTTGCCATAGATCCACTACCAACAGGAACTGATGCATTGGAGTAGGACAAGCGGGCACACCCATGAGCTTCTCGGCTAACAAGTGCAGAAACATAACCACCAAGGATAATGGTTTGTCTAACACATACCTAATTTCAAACACCACTGACAATTAAATGATTAAATTGTCAGGTTAGCTGTAGCAGGGAGGTCGGGGGTGCAGGGTGTAGCACTAGACTGCATTCTGTATATATGGGCCTTTTTACACCTTCGAATAACTAAATATTATCCTACTAATACCTGAAGCTGTGCAATTATGATAAAGGGTGTTGTGGCTGTGCAAGAAGGGTCAAAGGACCATGGCCAAGATATGTTAACTGATAACCTCAGATCACCTTACAAACCTTGCGTTGCCTCACTTCTGTTTATTTATGCAGACTACAGTAACACCATGAGGCCCCACACCAAGTCTGAGTCTCAACTGCTGTATGAACCCAGGATCAGAGAGATCTTGCTCCTAAGAGCTCACAGGCCAAAAAGACAAGGCTTGCTTTCTATTGAAGGCCAAAAAGACAAGGGTGAATTGAGATACAGAGATGAAGTGTGGCTTCTGGAGCCCAGGAGTACTCCTATGAAGCACGCTCCCTTCACCCACTGCATCACACCAAATCCTGAAAATGAGGCACTGCAGCAGCCTGAGAGCAGTGCCAAGCCCACAGGCTGAGATTGGGTCTTACAAGCTCAAAGTTCCTCAAAAGGCAGCTGCATTGTTGCATGTTTGCAAGCAAGAGCCAGTGGACTGGTTGTGCTTTGCAACAGCACTCGGGTATGGCACATAGCTAAAGAAGTCAGAGCCTGCCTTTTACTATTTATATTACAGCAACCCCTGAAGACCCCAGTCCCACTGTGTAAGCCTTGTACAAACCTGGAACTGGGAAGAATCCTTCCCCAAAGAGCCTTTGGTCCAACATACCCCTTTCGTTAACGAGGCGCCTTGAAACGTATCCCTAATTTGTCAAGTTCCCTTCTAGGAATCTGTCCAGTGATCACAGAGATCCTCGGAGGGTTTTCTGATTTAAAAAGAATCTCCAATTTTCAGTTAAAAAAAAAAAAAAAAAAAAGTAACCCCAAATCCACATTTTTCCATGATTAAAATGAAACATCACTATATACATATATCTATATATTAATGGTGTTTCATTTAAATCACTGAAAAAAGTGGATTTAGGGTTACTTCTTAAACCAAAAATTGGGGATATTTTTAAATCAGACAAAACCAGGATCCCTTGGTGATTAGACTGCCTCTGCCATGTCTAGATGAGTAAAACTGAGATTACTTAACTTGCTCAAGATCAGTCAGGAATATGCATTTTAGGAATCTCCCTGTCAAGCTCTGCTCCAGCTTCTAGACATGCCTTCTCTTCAACAAGCAGTGGGATATTATTTGGATGGCCACTTCACTGCATTTCCGCAGAGTGTTTAGAGAAAAGGCACATCTGGAATTGTGTTTGAGGCACTAATGTTGTTTGGTCTTCTTTCTGTTTTCCTCAGCACCCAGGTTGCAATAGCTCTCCTCATGGTAAGTGGGGAGATTGACTGATATTCACCAACAAAATATGCCTATAATAGTAGTGCATCTTTTATCCCAAGAGACATCAAAGCTCAGTACAAACCATGGGCTAGATGCTCCTGAACACGCTCATGCAATTAGGCTCTTGCTAGAAAGATCACTTTGCTGTCATACGTGCAAAGTGAAACCATACGTTGTCTAATGGCATATAGCTACGGTGTACAAAAAAAGTTGGGGGGGAGAGGGGAAGGAAAAATACCTTGATCATAGTGGAACTGCCGAGTACTTAAAGCTCACCAGGTATAGTTATTCCAGGCCACATTCTACCCTCTCCCCTCCCACAATGAGTTGTTTTATTCTATGAAAAGTCCTGTTTACTTTCAACATAGCTGCTTATTAACTAAAATCATGCAGAACATGGATGAGTGACAATATTTGGCTCTCATACTGAAGTCTGACCATGAGAAATGGGGTTTAAACCCCAAGGAAGAGCTTCAGGTTTCACATACTAAATATTGCTTAATAAAAGGAGGGGCCCATATCCAAAAATGCAGCATTCCCCCAAGCCCAGGTAAGTGCACTGTGCCATAAATGAAAATTTATTGGGGCCTACTAATAACACTCCAAGGACCTTTACAAAAAGTCTTGTATTCTGTGGAAGAGACTGGCAGTTAGAGAAAAGCTCCCCCAGGGAAGTGCGTTCACAGGGAAAACCCATTTCATTATCCCTGAAAATGAACAGCAGCTCATCAGTGAAAATGTTATTTTATTTAGAACCTGCAAGCTGAGACAGCAAAGACAGTTAATTTTCGCTGAAAGAATGACAAACAGCTATTGAACTCTTGGTCTCCAATTAACATTTTTCTCTAATTTCCAAGACTTAAGACAGTCCAGATATGATTTTCTTGCCCATTAACACATCTCCTCTTTTTAGTATAGTCGCAGTAGGCTAACTTTAATTTTTTCAAGCACGCTGGTACTGATGGGTGCTTTGGGCAGCGCATAAAATGAACCGGTTTCCCAGAAATGCATGTTACTCATAATACAATGGTTATTAAAGCTTTCAAATTTAAGAGTATTTTTTATTTGGTCGGAGGACTTCAAATAGACCTCAAAACTGGATCTGTCTGACAGTTGCCTTGGCTTGGTGCCTGGCTATTCTTCTCCATCACCAGAGGATCACTGTATAGAACAGACTGTAGATGACTAATGTATTTTATTGCAGCCCGAAGTGTTTCTACCTTGCTGAGCCGTTTTTCTAAGTATTCCTCAGGCAGGTGATGTCTGAGCTTGGCGTATCCTTCATTGACACACTTAACCCGCTGCCTTTCCCTCTCATTCCTTTTTCTGATGAAAGCTGGTCCATATGAGTACTCTCCTCTGCCCTGATTGACATGGGGAACTTGATAAGGGAAGCTGCAGGGATCACTGTAGAAATTCTCGGAGATTAACTGCTCAGATGCAAAAGGAAGTAGTGACAAATCTTCAGAGCAAGCAACCTGGGGAGGAGTCTCAGGGTATACGTGAAATGTGACGAAGGGATCCCCACCAAAAGGCCTGGGCAATGGCACATGATGGGAGTCACCATAGATGGGTAATTTGTCCATGAAGTTACAGTAGTTTTTACTATCCAGGGGGGGTTGCATTGAACCTGGAAATATATAACTGCATATTAATTAAGTCATACCTTGAGTTTAAGGGTTACCTGCCATCAGTAAGATGTTCCAGGAAAGACTTTTAAATGAATTTATGCTACTATAGAATGATATGAGAGACTGTCACAATGGATGCACCATTTGAACATAGTCTTTGCTAGGCCCAGGAACCAGCTCATGCTAGAGAAACTTACCAAAAAGTGCTAAGTAAAGACAACACAACTCTGTACACCTTCCTAAACGGAACAGCAATCAAGCTGCTTCTTGAGCTCCAATTTAATAGGCACGTGGAAACAAACGTCACAAACCGATCCCAGCTCAGGCTGAAATGGACAGAAATTAGTACTCATTGCTGATGTTATATAAACAAGTCTGGCATGTTAAGCAACATCCTATCCAGCCCCATGTACTCTCCCACTTCCCCCAAAACCATTTAGATTACAGCTCAAGTAACTAGCACCCCCACTGAACATAAACGTCCACTGAAAGCTTGACAGCTTGCTCTGTTATCCTACCACTTCTTTGTTTTAATTGGTTTGAAAATTTCTTGTGTGGGGCCCTCAATCTTGTGTCTGTGAAGTGCTACGCCAGTTCTATGAGAGAAATGCATTTCTTGGAGGGACCCACGTTTGTTTTAAACAGTTTGCTCCCACTGACTTGCAATGATCTGAGAGTCAGCTTAGCTTCATATTAAAAGGATGACAAAAAACGTCCAGATCATAGACCTTCAGTAATGAAGTACTGTATTAGGAAGAAAGGCTTCTGCAGCTAAAGTGAATGAATATGAGAGTATTGCAGAGATCAGCATATTCTTGGTAATCCCTTTCCAATTCATGGTGTCCATAAATGGAGGATGCTTCCACCTTCTCTCTACAAGAGGCCTAACTATAGGTACCACAGATAAACTACTCTGGATTGGGTTTTAACTGCTCAAATCACACTCCGAAGATTAAAAAGAGATTGCAAAAGCACCATCAATAGGAAGCTATACTGTACAAGGTTATCAAGCTATGTCAGGAGTCCTTTAATCTTAGCATTCCAGCACTGATTATTTTTCTAACTGAAAGCCACATTTAAAAAGTTTAAAGCAGACAGTATTTTACCAGGATCTGTTCACAGGGATTGCACACAATCTTTGTTGATGCAGAGTCCAGCCAGAATAACATCCACTTCCACATCTACGTGCCACTCTTAAAATCAGGTTACATCATGCCGTCCTAAAAGGAAAGACTACAGAAGAATTTCCTAACAGTACTGGAAATGCCCAGTATCACCACCTATTAAAAAAAATACAAAAATACCAAACATTCAATATTCACAGAGGAATAGTGCAGTATCTGATGGAAGAATTTTGCCATTAATCCAACTTCTTCACCATGACTTGCAGCTTCTCTAATACCTTCATACCCACTCCATTGAGAAGGGAAGGAATTGTATGATTGCTTGTTTGGGCCTATTTTCCCTGTGCATAAAGTTATATTTATCAAAATAGATTTGTGTTCTGTATCATTTGATACAATGAATTTTACTACCTAGAGCTTCACATTTTTCACTGAGTTGAGAATCTATTTTAGCATGCTACGTTATATAAAGGGAAAGCAAGTTCTAGAACAGATGCTTTAGTATGCTAGGTGCTAGCAAAGGCAAATGCTGAACACAAATGCATGTTAAATTACAGAATAAGTTGCCTCACTACATGTGGGAAAAGATCCAAGTTGAACATACATATGTACTGTGAATTCAAAACAGCAGACAAGTGATGATTGCTTCCTTTGTTAATACTGAGGGGAAAAAGATAGGAAGTTTTAATTTGTTTATGTTCCACTAAAATACAAATGCCAGTAACTGCATCTGCACTATAAAAGCCAACAAAGATATCATCAGGTACTTACAGCATTGGTTGGATGGCACTTAATACTTGCTACACAACTACATTATACAACACATTATGTGCCAGGCTCACATCTAAACCAAAACATAAAATCAGAAGCAATACAGCATTTCTTGTCTGCTACAAAAGACTCACCTGTTCTGAGATGGAGTGAAAACTCCAAAACAATCCACAGAAACAGAGTTTCCAATTTTGAGGCAGCTGAATATGCCTGTAAAATATGTTTTGCATTATAAATTTCAAAAATAGCATTTTAATTCTTATATAAAAGTAGCTTATGTTTTTAATAAAAAATAGATTAAAGAAGACTGATTAAAGTACTCTTAACTACCTAGTGTCTCTCACACACATTAGTCTTGAGAAATCATTTACAAAAGTCAGTTGACATTTAGCCAGCCATAGCAGTACGTAATTTTCCATGTGTATTTCTTGACGTTTCTTACCTGAATGATGTACCTCTAATACTGCTGAGTTGAGTCAAAAGACTGGTGTAATATATAGTCAACTGACAATATGCAAAGTAGCTTACAGTTAGATCTGCTCTTTTCTGGTTTAGCTTTTACCACCCACATTGTAACTATGATGGCAACAAATCTTAGAATGATAGGCTAGAAAGTTTAGATATATTAGATACAATTGAACTACCTTAAAAAGTAAATCAGGAAGATGTTTTATTTATATCCCTCATCCATATGCTGCAGCAATTTGCAGTAATGAACGTCTTTTCATTTAATTACATTTTACATCTCACTACATAATCAGCATAAAAAAATATCTAGACCTTTATGTTTTCATTCAATACACAAATCAATATATTTGAATAAGGGGTACATGAAACTGGTATTTTCAACTAAATTGATTTTATGGTAGTGTCACAAGATCAGTTTTGTTTTGAGCAACCTTCAGTGGTCCCTTGGGTTAGCTGTTTCCAGGATCTCTGCACTGGGCCAGACTAAACCTTCTCTGCTCCATTTGCATCACTTCAGGAGTGAGAAGGGCCCACGTTTTCTCTAGGGGAATTTCCATGAGATGCAGAGTCTGGGTGTGCTGGACAAGGAAGACATTGACAGGGCACAAGACAATGGCAACACACATTCTGCAGCAGTCTTATCAGTAACCATAGCTTTTAAAAGTGGGTCTCTGCTACATATTAAAGCTGCCCAATGAGTTTATGAAGTTTGTATCCAGTATTAAAGCACATTCTAATTTGAATCCAATGTATAATAAGTTAACTCATTTGAGAAATCTCCATTTTCATCTGCATTAAAATGAGCAACAAACTGCATTTCCTATTGATCAGCTCATTTTCTTAATCATTTTCAAGCACAACCTAAAATTACTGACTGTGAATCTGGTACGCTGAAAGAGTTGCACTTTTCCTTCCTGGGAAGACCCATCCAAGATTTAAAACATAGACTTGCTTGCTGCTACCTTCACATCAGAAAGAAGGCTAGTATATGTGGAATTCAAAACATTTCAAGACCTTCCTTGTAGGAACCACCATTTCCCTTCCTTCAAGGCTTCTTCAGAGAAGACATGCAAGGAGTAAGGCTGCTGGTAGGGCAGCCATCTGAAATGGTAGAGAACAAGTGACCATGAAGCAAAGAATTTCAACATTGTATTTCCTCTATGGAAGATGAGGGCATTGTTGTCCCTGTTGACCTGGGAGTCACGAGTTTGGGTGTTGAGAAAAGCAATAGTAACTAAAGCTTGGTTTCTCACTCTACTGGTTCTCAATCTCCTACTAGCAAATGATTTTTTTATTTTATTTTTTTTTTTACTACAGGTAAAAGCACACATGATAACCCTACTGGTACTAAAAGAGTTCTGGATTTTGTGAAATGGGTGCAGTGACTCTACTGAGAAGTGAGTGAAGTCCTTGATCTGCACAGAACTAAGGCAGTGCAAGGATGGTTGTGGCTCAGCTGCAATATCCATCTGCACCTGGATTCGGGTATGCAACAGGGGTTTGTTCTCCTCTGTTCTGCTGCTTTAAGCACAAACAAGAGCACCCAGCAGAACTAAGCATGGATATTTTGCTATTTTTCCTACTGGAAGTTGGACTGTAGCTAACTTATTTTAGCTTTTACTGCACACAGAGCAGTGACAAGGCTTCCCATCAAAATGGGAATAACTTGCAGCTACTACTACCAACACTGGATATGAATTCAATTAGAAGTAATCTGTACTCAATTGCCAGTCCTGACTCATGTTTCCCCAATCAAAACACTGAACATTAATCTGTAATCTGAAGTACCTGGCAAAATGGTTTAAAAAATGTAAAGTATTTCTCCCTTCTTGCCATCCATGGAAATTATGAAATACAGAAACAGCAAGTAGGCTTTTCAAAAATCAGCACAATCATTTTTAATTGTTACATTCCAAAGAGGATATATGAAAGTTAATAACCTGTATACACCTCTTAGAGGGATGAGCACAGAACCACAGTTAAAAAAAAAAAAAAAAAAGTACAGCTAGTCCCAAGATGACAGGCGCTAGTTAAAGGTATGTGCATTAGACCATCACTGGAGACAAATGCAAAAGGGTTTTTTCCTTGTGGTTGCTGTAAAATAAATACTTTATCATCTACTAACTCCTGAGACTTTACTCATGAAGAGACGGGAAAAGATTTTTTTGTAAGATACCATACACAATATATTAAATGATCAAATCAAGAGAGTAAAATGCCAAACTGGCTTAATGTGCACAGCATTAGAATTTATCTACATCACAGTACTTTAAGTCTGCAGCTCATCAACAGTCACTGTCCATTTAAGCTTCCTCAAAGAATCAGTGCACAAACCAAGTGATGAATACCACCCACTAATCTTAAAAATGAAAACTACACCACAAGATTTAGGTTCCTAATACACAGCTGTAAGTAACCAGGAGAAACCCCAAGTATATTTACAAAAGTCTGTGTAACGTGATTAGTGAGTTGTAACCAAACTCTTGTGACCAAGTATATTCCCTGTTACTACTTAAATCACAGAAGCAGAAGTGAGAAATATACATTTAAAAACCATCTTAAAGTCATAATTATAAATACAGTATCAGAGTTACATCCAAAGATACCTTTGATTTTGTTTGTTTTAGTTCTGTTAGCAAAAGCAATCTGAAAACAAAGAATTATTAGCTTTAGGCTAATTACAGGTATTTATTTTTAATAGCTTCCACTCTGGTACATTCTTGCAAAAGGTTCAAATGCTTTTTTGCCAACAATAACAAACCAGTTAAAGAACCCTTCAGAAGTGGTAGGAGCAGGAAGACATAAGTCAGCTAGTTCCATTAGTCCATTTTGCTTTCTTCCAGTTATCAGTTAACTCAACACAACATGGCGGTCAAAGACAGATTTGCGTTGCTCTTGGACCTGCAACTTCCAACGCTGCTGAGCATACTCCACTTTGTTCAACACGTTGGTACGACTCCGAGAACGAGCCAGCACAGCATGAGCGTTGGCAAAAGGTTGATGATCCTAAAGTTGCAGAAAGTAACATTTACATTTCTGTGATTTTAACTGTGTAAATACATTATCCTGGACAAAAGGAAGACACACTAGGCTTGACAACCTTTAAAAACAGATAGGAACTTCAGCACTTTACAGAAATTAACTGCTATGAGTTTTCCTTAGAGGAGCCAAATTTAGCATGCATGCTCTTTAAGGGGAGGCCTCATACCAGCAGCAACTCATGCAACACAATGGTAATATGGGGTCTGATTTTACACCATGGCTGTCATTGGAAGCTTAGCCACCAAGTCCCATGGAAGAAGAACCAGTCCTTCTGTGGGCAAGAGAGTATGTCTTAGTACCATGTGCTAAGCACTACATTTTTTTTTAGGAGTTCTTTGAATCAGAAGCCTGGGTGACCAAGATACAGGGATTCTCCCATCAGTTTTCATGAGTGGACTCCAATTTAAAAATGGAAAATGGAGGAGCCCATGTCAGTATGCCACCAGCTTTCAACTGGTTACTGTAAAGCAGTTTGAGATGTTCACACAAAGATGCTAAGTAAAAACCAACACCCTTTGATATTTACTAAACCAACTCCATTGTGCTCAGCTGTCTAAAAAACAGAGGGTAAATACAGCTGTTTTAATGACAAAAACCTCAACAACAACCCAGCGTTTATTTACTGTTTCCTCTACCTGTTTTTTAACAGTACCTGCAAAGCTGTATTTTTTCCAGTAAATAAATCCCACGGAGATATAACGACATTTGAAAAGATTACATAAATGACATATTAGGATAAACACTACTGATTTGTTTCTGCGCTTTTTGCATTTCTATGCGTTGACTTCCTTTTGCCAAAACCCACATTTCAAAAGTGGTGGGTATTAGTGACATGTGCTGTATAAAGGAACACAGTCACAATGACCTATTTAAGGAGGATCCTCCTTAAATGGGCTGTCATGGATTATACTGCAGTACTACCTAGGAATCCCCAAGATACAGGCGAGGACCCTGTTCCATCCTAGAGTACTGTACAAATACAGAATTAGATGATGCCTAGTTCAAGGAGTTTGTAATCCAAGTATGAAGCAAGTGATAATACATGAATAGGAGCGCACAATAAAATTTAGACAATACAGTTAATCACATCTTAAGAAGTAACCCAGCCACACTGGTGCAAATAATGGTACAATAAAACAGAGAATAAGGCACAAAGTTATTACATAAAATATGCAAAACAACTTTGCAGCTGATTCCCATCATGCCTTGAATTGCACATGTGGCCAAGCTGATCAGCTGACTACTGTGCCCAGTTAGCTGATCAGGGCTCCTAGCCTTAGGGGCACCACAGCATGGTTAGGATTTGATTGCAATCCCAACAACTGCATCTTGTGCCATGCGTATGCAGCATGACAGAAGGGGCGATTATTGAGACTGCTGGTCAGATCCTATTGAACTTTTAACAGGGACCTAAAGGAAGGATATGAAATAGCATAGTGCAAATCACTTTGAAAAAAATTACAGGGAGCTCCTCCCACTAAGAGGGGCAGCATGAGAGAGGGCAAGGAAGTGCTTGTTTGAGAGTTTAATGTGAGGGCACAGAAAAGACTGGGCTCAATGACAACACAGAGACAGGAACCGTCTTTCACCATATGAGCCATAACTGGTAAGGAACACGATATGCTGCGAAGGACCTTGAGAACAAAGATAAGCAGACTGTATTCGATGTGATAAAAACAAGCAGCCAATGAATGGATAGGATGAAAGACGTGACGTGGGCTAAGTGAGGAGGTAGGAAAATCATCTTTGCACAGCTATGTGAACAGACAGAAGTACTTTTCTGGTCTGAGAGGATGCTGCAGCACTCAGAGCAACAAACTTGTGCGAGAGTTTTTGCTCCACAGATGAAGACAGGAAGGATCAGAGGTTATCTTTAGTGCATAGTGAATCCAAGCTCTATTCCACCCTGCCCCTAAACCCTCTATCCAGGTTTGAAAGACTATTAAACCCATGCTAGCTTCACAGTGCTATGGCATACATTAGAGTGTGGGTTCCAGTTTTATTCAGGTTGGAATCCACCAACTTTGTGGTGAAGATGTCAACAAAATCTCAGCAAAAAGAACCATGGGACATGCCTCATACATGCATGGGTAAAAGCAGAGATAGTGATGACACAATAACACAGATGGAACTTTGTTGGGGTGGGAGTTAAATACAAGCTAGGTTAGCTTAGTTGCTCAGACACGTGTCAATCAACTAGGCTAACTGAGCAGTGTAAATATACTGTAGCTGTGCAGTGAAGTTGTATTGTATGTACTGTAACAGACACTATCCAGGAAAATATTTATTGAATATGCTGAAGTTGCGTTTCCACAATGGAAATATAATCTCTGAAGGATAAAAACAGTTACTTTCCATCATAATGGTTGGTGGGCAAGACTAAGTGATATACTTTTCTCAAATTGCCCAGGATAACAATTCTAAGTGTTCAGAACAGTTTGGTAAGCACGATGGAAGTAAATCTGACCTACCCTGCATATAAAGATACAGAGCAAATTTCCTCAAATATGATTCCTCAGAGCAGACAAGCTGGGAATGTAAAGCAGTTAAAATGACACTGACATTTTAGGGGTGCACTGATAATGATTTTTTTTTTTTGCTGATACTGATGGCTGTTCATTGAGAAGCCGTATTGGACGATACCAATCCAACTGTCAATACGCAGCCCAGAAGCTTGGAGAGCAGTGTCTGGCTGGTAAGTCTACTGGGGAGAAGGGACGTGGGAATGGGGGTGCAGATTAAGGCCCTGCAGTGAGGGAGGGGAGTGGGGCTGGGGTAGGCGCTGCCCAGCTGGGGCAGGGCGTGGTGTGGGATGCAGCTTAAGCGGCTCATCCAGGGGGTGCAGGGAAGCAAGGTGGCTCCCATGGGGAGGCAGGGCAGTTCCCTCCTGGGGGAGGCATGGGGGGGACACATGCTCCCCAGATCTATGTGCGGGGTGAGGGCGGGCTGCAGCTGCAGGCTGGGAGCAGTGCTAGGCTCTTCCTAGCAGAGGGGTTGGGCCGGGGCTGTGCTCAGGGTGGGCAGCGGTGGTGCTGGGAGGGGAGGCAGGTTCAGGGAGGCTACAGTGAGTTTTGGGGTGGCTGTAGCCCACCCCATATCCCTCCTCCCAGCACCGCCACCACCCACCCTGAGCACAGCCCCAGCCACGCCCTGCCACCGGGAAGAGCCTGGCACCACCCCCAGCCCCAAGTGGCAGCCTGCCCTCATCTCGCACACAGATCTGGGGGGTACATGCCCCCCATGCGGCCCCCCATGCAAAGTGGCAGGAGCCAGCCCCTTCCATCCCCCCTGGACCCACCACTTGTAGTTCCATCCCACTCCCTGCCCCGCTCCCTCCCTCATTGCAGGGCCTTGATCTGCCCCTCCCCACACCCCCTTCCTCCCTCCACCCCTGACCCCCAACAGACTTACCAGATGGACGCTGCTCTCCACACTGCCTGGCTGCGTGCACACTGTGGCTGAGCATGCATGTGGCATTTAAATCGGCCAAATCAGCCAAAAAAAGATGATTGCCAATAATGTCAATGTTCCTTTTATCGGTGCCGATATGATATGGATTGATGCATCAGTGCACCTCTAGACACAGGACTTTTAAACAGTGTGTGTAAACAAAGACAGCCTTTTGTTTTACAATAAACAAAGCGAATTTGGGCTCTCTAACATCAGCGTGAAACTCTTTAGTTTTGCTGCATCATTAGCAACTACTTACTCTGAAAGCACTAATGACAATATTCTTAAGGACCACATATAGGCTATAACGAGCACTTTTAAATGAGGGTACAGATTAAATGGTCATTTAAAACCATATTAAACTAGAAACTAGAGTTGTCTAGGCTGCTGGCAGATTTGAATGGTTTTTGGTGGGGGGGGGGGGGGGGGGAGGGGTAGAGGGGTGTGGTTTCTAACTTACTAAAGATACACTGCACTTAAAATATATTTTAATATCTACTACCAATGTGGTTTAGCCGAATATAGCAAGAATATGAGTTTATTTTCTAGACTCTATGCTTTTAGATATTTCATGTACTTTAATTTCTTATCACAGACTGAGAGTCTTAAAATTCTTTGATCAAAAAGGGCACAATACTGATTTTCTCCTCTCCTTCCATCAAGGTTACCCCAGGTTAGCATATCCACATTCTCCGCTCAGACGTCTCTTCATAGCATATGGACCATCACATTTACAAAGCTGACTGTGCTTGCAATGTCATCTAACTTGTCTTATCTATGTATTTTTATCTACATTAAGAATAAAAACACTGGGGAAACGACTGCTCCCACTGGTTATCTATGGTCTATTTCCTTTATTCAGACAGAACTCTTGAGAAAAAATTATCTTGATCTATGGGAATGTATTCTCATCATGCATATAGCTAGTTATAATGCAAAGGAAAATTATTTATTTGTAATCTCCTAGGTTACCTCATGACAGTACTTCACTGTCAAGCATTTAATCTTTTAGTATCTCCGCTAACATCTGTTGGCATATCCAGGGAAGACCATCTCATTCATGTCCGTACTGTTAAGATTTTTCCTTTTCCACTGCACAAGACCACCTAGTGTGTAGCAACCACTACCAGGACTGAAGGCATCAACGTTTAAAAGGACACATTTTAATTCCTACTTTTTCATCCCTTTCTTCCCCAAAATTTGGACTGAGGTAACAGTGAGGAAACTCCAGCTCCTGATCTTCACGTCCAAAAACAAAAGGTTCTGCAGAGGCCATTACAACCTCCTGCAAATCTGGAGATTGTCATGCCCCCTTGCAAAAAGGTGGTTTTTCCCTGAGGAAAAAGCTCTCTCATCACTCAATACTTCCTTGCACATAACCTGCACCTTCCTCCCCAAAACCAGCTGGGAGAAATTGGGGGGGTCCATTATAGGCGAAGAAAAGGGATCCTTATGACTCCAGAAATTGTGCGTGTGTGTTGGGATGGAAGACTGGGGGGGTGAGGCAGTGAGCAAGCAAGCAGTGACGGCATTAATTGCTTCAGGTCTGGGAGCCATGGCAATTAACACTGCGAACATGCCCCACCCCACCACGAACTTTGAAGACCTATGGGTGTGTATTACATTCCATATTTTCTCACATACAGCCTGCCACAAAATGTTCAACAGCATTCAAACGAGGTAAACTTACCCCAACGTCTTCATCACTTTGTATAAGCTGTGAATGTCCAAAGAGACGTCTCTTTAGGATAGGTTCTACCAAGGTAAGGTACACCATATATAGCAGAAGCAGCCCCAAGATGGATAAATAGAGTATGATTGTAACCTGCATGTTGTAAAATGTAAGCAGAGTTTATGGTAGTGTTGGAAATATGCTCCACACAATGCTTTCAACACAACAGACAGCAAAAGCAAAGAAACACAACTGCTTCAAGCTTATTAACTTTGGCCACAAACATGCAAATTAATTTGAAACTAATGACAAAACAAAAGAAAGTTTGGTTTAGGGCAGAATTTCCTCTTCTTAATGGTCTTTGCTGAGATTTCAACTCTTTGCCGCAAGCAAGACTGGTAGCTGGTGGAAAGAATCCTACCACAAAGAATAACAACATCCAGGTTGTGCAGTGGGCTGGCTGACAAAAATCAGAGGTTCCTATTACAGCCACACCAATTTGTCTTCATTCCCTACTTATCTAAGACTTGCACAAAAACATCAATGGAGATTGAAAACCATAAAAAATGTAGCAAGGCAAATTCTAAATAGTCACACACTTAAAACATCAGAATGCGTCAAAATCCAAAAGCTTCTAGCAAATATCAGACCAAATTTTGAAACTAAAAAGTTAAGTGTATCCCCTCTAAGACCAAGTCTTAGTTGCCATGTGGTGTCACTACTGTTCACTTTATGTTCAATTATTATGAACAAGATGTTTAGAAAGGGAGATATTTTCAAGCTTTACAGTACTTGGGACGTTTTGCTTTTATTTTGTCAGCTCTGTTTTATGGGTGGATGAAAGGCTTGAATATGTAGCAGGGGAATTATATTGTTACCTTAATAGTGTATGTGCTTCTCTCTTCATATTTGCATTCACAACGTAGGCAATACGCTTCCACGTCAGGTCCTAGGACTGGCATAGGGTCAACCACATGAAGACAGTCACTGGAGACAAACAAATTGCTTATAGTCAGTTTGGCTGGTTTTACCCCACTCTTTGGACAGTTTCTACTGTTCACAATGTGCAGGCTCCATAACCGCAGGCAAGAGAGGCCAATCTTTGGTTAAGCCCAACTTTCCTGGGTTATAACATCTAAGATTTAATAGAGCCACTTTTCAACAAGTTTAGTTACCTGAGCGACTCAGTTGCTCAGACTTCACCATCTAGCTTGCTTGCAAATTCTTACTAGAACTAACTAAACATATTTTAGGCCAGTAGGGGCCTGGTACCCTCCCCAAATGCCACTCAGATCCCCTTCCCCTGTATGATCTGCTGTTGTGTCTTCTGTTCTCTACTCTGCTCCCTGCCCAAGCTCCTGCTGGGATGCCTGTTCCCTCCCTAATCTTACTTGTCAAATAAGGATGCTACCTGTGGCATGTGCTGTTGGTTGGCTACCCCTGTTCTATGCCAATGCTGAGAAGTACAAATTACAAGGCCACAATTTAAGAGTAGAGCCCTGCACTGAAGCATGCTTTTACTCCAGCCCCACAGAAACTCTTCCCACTCCTGTTTTTTCTCCCTTCCATATCATCCTGCTACACCCTGCACTGGGAACATACGTTTAAATTAGCAAACAAAACTTGGTCCAATAAATTCCTGTGAGCCAAGTTTTTTCTTCCACCTTATTCCATCCCCAAAGTTATTTTGTCCCCATGCCTAGTAGCATGCTGGCCACTTTTAGTGATCCCAAAGGGATCTCCCTTTAAATAAAGAGATGAGATAACTGCTCCTTCCCCCATCCCACAGTCTCCTCTAGCTTTCTGTGTAGTACAGAACCAAAAGGGGCATGTGACATTTACATCGATCATGTATGTGTTATGCAATAAGTAATGAAAGCTCAAGAACAGCCCTGCCCCATTGTTATCAACAGTTACCAGAGTTATGGCTCATTTAGTTTATTTGGGCACAGCAGAGCATTCAACACTTGGTATAATCAGGGCTATAATAAAGAGTATAAATTTGCTCCCCCCCATAAAACTAATCAGAACAAAAAGGGCTGGAAAAAGAGTCTTCATCTAACATAGTCATGGAGATAAGTGGCAACTATTCCAGCTACTGTCCTCTTTTTTACTTATATTCTTCAGCATTCAATTTTGTATCCCCCTCTCCATCTAAGTCAGGGCTAACTGATAGCCTCCATGTGGTCCCCCAGGGGTTTAAATGCAGGCCCTAGTCAGGGCATCCATTCCCACATGGCACTCTGGCTGCTGCTAGAGTCTCTGAGATCTTCCTCCAGCTTCTGCTTCCTACCCCTGAGAGCAGGGCACCCCCCAGGGCTGAGGAAGTTCACAGCTGGGGATTCAAGGGAACCAAAGAGTGCAGCACACAGGCAGCATGGCATGCAGCCCCCCAGAAGTTGGGAAACCCCAAACTAGGTCATCCTTCCAGTGCCTGAAGGGAGATCAATCTCCCTTTGGTACATGATAACAACTATTCTTGCAAATGAGAGTTACACATGTACCAGAGCGAGTGTGAAGCTAGTGTGCTTGCCCCTACCCCGCTCCTTTGTTTTTTTAAGCAACACAAAAAGTGGCTGTTTGGGAATATATTCAGTTTTCTCCAACAGACAAAGTAGAAAAACAAGTAAGTGCAAGTATTACTGAGTTGAAATTAAGCAATGCAAGATAAGATCTTTAACTGTGCTTTTGGCATATGAGCCCTTGTCTTTATAAAATTCCAACCTCAGACACCAGCCATCACAAGACTGCTGCTCCCTGCCAAAGCATTGTGCAATCCTGGGCCTTTTGCTGACTCACACTCTGCTTGTTTATACCTCTAACTGAAGGCTTCCTTTTGGTATACAAGCACTTATTTACTGCTGGGGTCACTTTCTAGCTTGGGTGTCCCAGTAACAGAATAGCCACAGGCAGGTTATTAAGATACTAATAGAGCTGCTGTGGAAGCACCACTCAGTTAAGAAGATCCAACAGGGGCTGGATTATTATGCCTGGAAGCCATGTGACCAGCTACAACCTCACCAACCCCTTGTGTCTCATTTGTATTTTCCTTTAAAAGCCTGGGGAAAAAAAATCTAATTATCAAAGTGCAAAAATTCTGAGTTCTGTTAAGAAGAGAAAGGAGATTATATTTTTATTTGGAAGTTCTCCTGTGCTACTAACTGCAATATTCAAATTCCAAGTCAACTCAAAGTAAGTCATCCACAGTGTATGCTCACATGAGCAGAATATGAAGTTGCTTCCACTTGACTGTCTTATAAATACATCAAATAGCAATGGCAGCAAATCTTAGACTGTTCTTGTTCAGTTTAGTACACTGGTAGTGTATCTAAGTCTCAAATGAGGACACCTGTAAAAGCTATGAATGAGCATTAGCATACAAGGATTTTGATAAATATATTTGTCTTAACATACCCACATTTTTATTTAAATTCCTAAGAAGTCCTATTTTATCCTCATTAACAATATGCAAGGACCTTAGAACATGTTTGGTCTGTTGAAACAAAATAAAAACTATGAAGGAAAGAGCATCACTCTCAAAAGAACCTGACTGGGCATTTGAATATTGCAAACCATGGCTTGAAATGATGGGAATTAACAGAATTAAGGGAACATTCCCTTGTATGCAAGGGAGATGAGCAGACAGAAACTATGTATGTACATCTTAAACTCACTTAGCTAGCAGAGCATCAGGGAAGTTGGCTCCACTAATCATCAGTACATACTAAACCACTTTTATTCAGTCTTGTGAGAACATAAGAACTGCCATTTACTGGGTCTGACCATAGTTCCACGTAGACCAGTATCCTGTCTGTGGCAGAGAGGATGCCGAGGGAGAGGGTGAACAGGGTATGTCCAGAATTTTCTTGGCCCTGTTCCACTCCTGTTGCAGCTTCCCCACATTCAGAGGTTTAGGAACTTCTGATTCAGAGGCTGCACCTTGTTATGGTAATTCAATACCTACTGCTAGATCTTTCCTCTATGAATCTTTCCAACTCCCCTTTGAAATGGATTAGAACCATCAGCCTTTACATTTATGGCAATGTGTTCCACAAGTTTATTATACGCTGTGTGAAAAAGAACTTCCTTTTGTTGGTTTTAAGCCCGCTCCCTAATAGTTTCATTTCATGTACTCTAGTTCTAGTAGTGTGACAGGTAAATCCCTATTTCACTGCAGCACTGAATATTTTTGTAAGCCTTTACCATACCATACCATATCATAGTATTGCTTACAATTCTCTTCTTAATAATCTCTAACATTTTAATTAGTCTTTTTGACTGCTGCTGAACACTGAACTTATGTTTTTGACAAACTGTCTAAAATGACTCCAAGAAATCTTCCTGTGTGATAACAATTAATATGTACAACCTATCCCTGTGTATGTATACATTTGGGTTATTTTTTCCATATGCATCACTTCCCACTTATCAACATGCCATTTCATCTGCAATTGTGTTGCCTATCAGTTCAGTTTTACAAGATACTTCTGTAGTTCTTTGAGAACTGCATTGCTCTTTATTACTCTGAATAATTTTGTGTCATTTGTAAACTTGGCCACATTACTACCGAGCCCCCTCCCCACATCGTTTAGGAATATATTAAAAACCATGGATTCCAACACAGATACTCAGGGCACCCTACTGTTTACTTGTTTCTAGTTTAAAAACTGACCCTTTATACCTACTCTTTCTTTTCTATCCTTACATCAAATTCTGATCCACAAGCACTAATCTTGTGGCAACCCAAATTCCACTGAGCCTTTGATGCAAGACATTGTCAAAGGCTTTTTGAAGTCCAGATACACTACATCACTCCGATCCACATTCTGGTTGACATCCTGAAAAGATTCTAATAGGCTGATGAGGCATGATCTCCCTTTTGAAAAGCCATGCTGATTTCTCCCCAGAAATTCCCATATAACTGCAAGTGGAAAAATGGTTTTTTTGGGTCAGTTCTATTGACATGTGCTCTGGAAGGATTGGTTCCAATAAGGAAATCTCCCTAACAAGAGTAAAGAATGATGCAAAAAACTCACCGAGTTCCTCAGTAATAGCCTTGCCCTCTTTTAGTACTCTTTTTACAACCTGATCATCTAGTGGCCCAACTGATTCCTAAGCAACCTTCCGCTTCTAACATACTTTAAAACTTTTTTATCGTTATGCTTTATGTCTCTAGTAAATTCCTCCTCAAATTCTTTTTTAGCTTGTATTATGGCACTTTTACATTTGACCTGCTAGAGCTTGTGCTCACCTTCACCACATTTAGATTTGACTTTCACTTTTTAAATGAATATTTTTTTCCTTTTCTTAGTGTCATTTGACCATGTGATCTACTTTCCTCCCTCCTTTTTTAAAAAAAGTATCTGTAGTAGGCATTTACTTTGTGTCTTCAATATGATGTTCTTAAGTAGCTTCCATGCTGGTTGCAAGTTTTTAACCTTTTTTGGTGTCACTTTTTATTTCTTTCTAGTTCCCCCATCTTAAAGTTGAAATCTACTATGGTAACTCTTTCTGTTTTTTCCCCTCTTACAAGACTGTCAAGTCCAATCACATTGTGGTTCATATTACAGAGTGGCTCAGCAATAGTTACCCTTTGTACCAGACATGCAGTTTAATGTATTATTCAGTCAGAGCTGAAATGGTCCACAATAGCTATGGACCCAAATTCACCATATGGCAAACACTTTTAGTAAGGTTCCTGCATCCTCAGCTTATACATACAAGCTCCTGTGTGATTAGGTCCAGTGTCTGAAGCACCAAAAAATAATCTCAGTGAAAGAACCAACAAGACTCCCAAATTGTAGGCTCATTATTATACCCATGATGCTCACCATATTAGACATTAACATCAGACTTTGTGAGCAGATAAACCAGTTGTAAACAGCCATTATGTGGTGAATAATTTAGAGACGCTAAAAATTGATCTAGCTCCTGTGTCACATAAGTAACTGAAATAATACTAAATGGATGCTGTATATCATACTGTTCTGCATCTACAAGGAAGTTTTATTGCTGAATAGAAGGCAAAAATATACACCACTAACATTCCCAACTTTAATGCACATAAATGCACTCTCTAGCCAAATTCCATTAAAAAACAGTTGATCAGGTATTTGACATAGCAGGAGACTCACTAATTGAGGAATCCTTGTCAAAGCCAAATAATTACAATCCATTCCAGTGATTCTCAACCAGGGAGATGCTTTTAAGAATGCTATGGGGGGTTGCACAATATTAGTACTGTTATGTGGGAAAACACCTATACATGGTTTACAAGACAAACCCAGAGATTTCAAAGAGGAAACGACAAATTTGCCATAGCCCCTTCCCAGTGCAGCCCCACCCCACCAGGAAGAGCTTGGCACAGCTCTGGCCCCAGCCTGCCCTGCACAGATCCAGGGGCACACACCCCCCAACCACGCCCTCCCAGACAAGTGGTGGGAGCAGTGGCAGGAGCTGCAGGACAAACAGGCAAGTGCCGGATGAGCCGGCGGACCAGTGGCTCCCAGACGAGCGCTGTGCAGCCACAGGAGCCATACCTCCCCTCCCCCCCCCGAATGAGTTGCAGCTCCGTCCCATGCCCACCCCACCCTAGCTGGGCAGCGCTTGCCCCTGCCCCAGCTCCAGCCCCATGCCTCCCTCACTGCGAGCGCATTCATCTGCTCCCCCCATGCCCCTTTCCTTCCTCCTCTCCCCCACATCAGACTGGCCAGCTGGAGGCAGCTCACCAAGCTACCGGGCTGTAACCAGAAATCAGATCAGTATCGGCCGATATGCCTCCTTAATAATTGGCTGTAGCTATGGGCTGCAAAAATCTCTATCGATGCACCCCTACCCCTAACCCATCCCCCTCTCCACCCCCACAAAAAAAGAGAGCAGAGAGAATGGCTTGAGGCCTTGCCCAATCCTACAGTTCCCTTCATACAATTACAAAAGAGAGAACCATCTCTCATGTGTGTCATCTTGGAAAGGTGACAAAGACAAATGAAACATAACCTTATAAACCTTTATAATTCCCCACAAACTTACCAGTCTTTCTGTGTAACATTTCTGTTGTAAATATTGCCACGACTGTCTTTGTAAGGAGGGCATATGCATTTACATCGGGCATCCTCTGAATCCTGGAAAATAAACATAAGCTTAAAAAAAAGTGTCGTCAACCATCAAAGCTCTTAACAAAAAAACGACAACAACAACAAAAACTTAGCAGCTACAATATACATTTTACATGTACTTCAACTATTTGTAAAGTATCTACATCATCATAATCGCTGCTCCCCCTCTTCCCCACAAGTGTCAGAGAAAGCAGTAACTATTTTAAAGGAGAGCACTCAATTGCCAGAACTTTACAGATCAAAGTAATGTAGCAGGAGCCTACCCACATGACAACAATTTCTTTGGAAAAACAAAATGCATTGCTTTAAATTCTCTCAATTTTCTATAACATGGGCTTTTTAAAGAGGTTTTTAGCATGGTACAGCCAAATTCTCTGTACAGCTGTCATCACACATTGAAGATGATGCAGAATGGGACAGTGAACAGCATAAAAAGGCTGGATGAGGAAACAGTCAACAAGAAAGGCAGTCTGGTAACAGTACCTGGTGGACAAGTCTTTCCTCACCAATTACTTACTGTCCTTCCTTGGCAGAGACAGACTTTTACAAGAAACCATTAGGGGAAGCACTGTAGCACATGGCCCTCTTGTTTTAATTCAGTTGGGGGTAAGAGGACAAAAAGACCAAAGTCAAGGGCAGCCAACTGGAATCTGACATAAAAGAAAGAGAAAGAGGGAAAAGCAAACCAAAAGGAAAAGAAAGTAGCAGAGCCCAAGTATATGCAAGGAAAGCACTGAAGAAAGGAAAGTACAACAGAATGAACAGTACAGAGATATGCACTGGAAACTGCACTTTAAAGTTTTTTAGTTTCTTTTGGACTGGGAGGAGTTGTATTCAAATGGGAAAGGAGTTATGAAAGCCTATAATAAGGAAACAGTTCTTCCCTTTTCCTGTGTCCAGGAATGTGGTAGGTTTTTGGAGGGGCCAGCAATAGGTTTATAAATCCTTCAGAGGCTGGCTTAATCGCAAATCAGATTAACTGCTCTGAGGAAGTGACAGCAAGAGCCAATGGTGATACTTGGCCCACTTGATTCAAGTAAGCTTTCTATGAAGTGTAGCACAGGAGGCTGTTTATAAAGGCAAGGATGAGAAGTATCTACCCTGGATTCAACACTGGCTTGGTCAGTAAAGGTAAGAGCTTTCTTAAGTGGCTGTAGCTCATTAAAAAACCCACCAGGGACCGGTCTGGCTCACCCGCCTGCTGAGGACAATCATTTTGTATGTTTATACCTTGCTGCAGGAAAGTCCAAGGTCTAATTAATATTAAAGAAGAATGCTGTGTGTCAAGATCCCTGAATAAAGCGGGAAGTGCTTGCTGTCAGCTAGCTCATAAAAGAGCATTCACACTCAGTAAAAGACAGCAAAGAGATTTATGTCGAGTGTTCATCTGCTACAAGACAGCAGTCAACAGCACAGCACCAACTCACATTTTAATCAGATAAAAAGAAAACCAAAACAAATCTAGAGCAATGAAACAGCAGAAGCCAGAAGAGACAAGAACAAAACCAGAGAGAGAATAAGGTGCTCACACCCAGGACACTGTAAAATTTGGGCAACAAGACAGAGCCATGGCAAAAGAAGACACACATCGGAGGCCCCTGCTCCCCTTTTGCATTCTAAAAATACAGCAGTACAGAAGCACAGCAGCAAAAAGCTTCCTTGACAGACATGTGCCTGATTGCCCTCCCATGCCTGACAGATGCTCAATGAGCACTCATGGTGCTCAGGACAGGTCCCAGGGGACTGGAAAAGGGCCAATGTGGTCCCTATTTTCAAAAAGGGGAACAAGGAGGATCTGGGTAACTATAGACTGGTTAGTCTCACCTCTATCCTTAGGAAAACCTTTGAAAAAATGATTAAGGAATACATTTGTGTGAGTCCAACAGGAAAGTAATGCTGAAGGGCAACCAGAGTGGATTCACAGCAGGTAAATCCTGCCTGATAAACCCTGTTTCTTTTTACAACCAGGTCACAAACTGCTTAGATGCAGAAGTCGAGGTAGACGTCATATGTTTGGTTTTAAAAAAGCCTTTGATAGATGTCACATCCGATTCTCAAAAAAAAACGGAGTGGCTGTGACTCAGATGATTACACAGTCAGGTAGGTGGCCAATTGGCTTATGGGATGCACCCAGAAAGCGGTAGTGGATGGGTTGGTATCAACCTGGAATGATGTGGGCAGTGGTGTCCCACAGGGCTTGGTCCTCAGGCCAAAGATGTTCAACATCTTCGTCAGTGATTTGGACAAGGGTGTAGCAAACACACTGTCCAAATTCACAGATGACACTAAATTACGGGGCAAAGCAGACACACTGGAGAGCAGGGAATGGATTCAGGAGGATTTGGACAAATTGGAAAAGTAGGTAGAACAAAATAGGATGCAGTTGAACAAGGATAAGTGCAAAGTGTTGCCCCTAGGAAGAAGGAATCACCAATACACAAACAGATTGAGGGAGTACTTTCTAGGCAGCACAGCAGCAGAAAGGGATCTCAGAGTCATAGTTCATTTAAAGATGAACATGAGTCGGCAATCTGATCAAATGATCAATAGAGCTAACCACAGTCTATCATGCATTAATAGGTGCATCACGAACAGGTCTAGGGAGGTAATACTTCCCCTCTATGTGGCACCGGTAAAACCACAGGTGGAGTACTGCGTCCAGTTTTGGGCACCGCACTTCAAGAGAGATATGGATAACCTTGAGAGGGTCCAGAGGAGGACCACTCATATGTTTAGGGTCCTGCAGGATAGGTCCTATGAGGAGAGGTTGAGGGACCTAGATCTCTTCGGCCTCCATAAGAGAAGGCTGAAAAGGGATATGGTGGCTGTTTACAAATTTGTCAGGGGGACAGGCAGCAAGGAACAGGAGATACTCTGTTTACCAAGGCGCCCCTTGGAGTAACTAGGAACAATGGCCACAAACTGACAGACAGCAGATTCAGGTTAGACATCAGGAAGAACTTCATGGTAAGGGTTACCAGAGTCTGGAATGAGCTTCCAAGGGAGCTGGTGCTGTCCCCGACCGTGGGGGTCTTTAAGAAGAGACTGGACAAGCACCTGGCTGGGATCATCTGACCCCAGCTCTCTTTCCTGCCCGGGACAGGGGGTCAGACTCAACGATCTGCTGAGGTCCCTTCCGACCCTGAAAATCTACGAAATCTACGGTGCCGTCCCAGTTAGTAATGTCAGATCCCTAATATTCACATCTTATAGCTGAAAAATAAGCAGGGACAAGAAGAGAGAGACGTCTACCAACATCTACCCTATTCACATGACATCTACCAACATCCCATTTCTCTGACACAAGTCACAAAACAGTGTGGCCGACAAACATAAAACAGACACTCGCTTCACCCTTTCTACACAGAAAAGAATTTAAAAACAAACAAACAAAAAACGTGTCTGTCTGCCGAAGACCAAGACCACCAATACCGAGCCCATTGGCTCAGGAAGCTCAAGCAATTAATGGTCATAATTTTCCCATGACCCTCCCTAATTTCGGGGCTATCTGCAGCAGGTCTCGGACATGAGAGCTGCATGTCAGAATGGGGCAGCCAGTGCCAAGTCTGCCGCTCAAGCAGGCAGCGACAGAAGTGAAAAAGGAAGAGAGGTGGGGGCAGCACGCAAGGTGTCCGCACCGACTTATATGCTGCTTTGCATATGTTCTTGCACAACGCGAGTAAACCAGCTTCAGTTCACAGAAGCCTGTGCACACATGTATGTGCATGTGTGCACGTGTGTGTATGTACATTTACATATGTGCACACACACGTACTCGGATATGTAGGTGCACACGCATGTTCATCTGTGTGTGTGTGTGTATGCATGTATGTGTGTATATGGGTGTAGGGGGGGAGCTGCCTCCTAAGCACTGGCAGCAGAGGCCCTGCACCCCCCACGCCCCTCCAACGTGACCCCGCCCCTCCCAGCCCCCAGCGCGCGGTTCCCCTCCCGCCGGGTTCCACACGCGCACAGCCTCGGAGGGGGGCCCCCGCCCCCTCCCCCCCCCCCGCCCCCCCCCCCCGCCGGTGCCGCGCCACGGGGCTCACCTTCGTGGCCGCCCCGAGACCCGCAAGCACCGCCAGCGCCAGCAGTGAGCACAGCCCGGCGCGTGCCGCCATCGTCGAGTCCCGGATCCGCATCCGCCCGGTCCTTTCTTACCGGCGCCGGCGCGACACCAGCCCCCGAGCTCCCGAGGGCTGCTCCGGCACCATCACTTCCGCCTTCCGTCGCTCACGCGTCACATGACGCGAGGCCGAGTCCGCCCTGGAAAGGCCCCCCCCCGCGCGGCGGCGTCCGAAGGTTCCGGACGTGTCTCAGCCTCAGCGTTCCGGGCAGCCCGCGGGGGGAGTGGCCTCGCGCCGAGGCGCTCTCAGTGCGGGACCCCGCCGGCGGCACGTCGCGCCTTGAAGTCGTGGAGCGGGGTTACACACGGCGCTCGTCACACCTCGGTCACAGCCGCGTTTTTGGAACCGCGGGAACAGGCACCACCAGGGAAAGCACACACTGAAAACACCCCCCCCGAGAGAACACACACACACACACACACACACACAGTGAAAACACACACACTGAACACACCCGCAGAAAACAGTAAAAACACACACCCCAATGAAAACCCACACACACGCGGGCGCACACACACAAAGCACCCCCCCCGAGAACACACACGCACACACTGAAAACACACACATATACCAGTAAAAACCCACCTATTGTGGCATAAGTGTACTTTGTGTGTCTACTGCTGTTCCTGTCCAGGAAGGAGACTGGGGGGCACCGCGAGCTCCCGCAGGCAGCTGCAGCGTCGTTGGCGGGAAGGGGGATGCGGGGCAGCGAGTGCCAAACAGCGGTCAGTGGCCACCCACAGAGGTCGCTGGCAGCAGTGGTGGTGGCCAGTGGTGATTGCAGACTGCCCGCAGACGCTGCCAACATTGTTGGTGGCGAAAAGGGGGGGGCGGTGGCGAGCAGCAACTGCCTGCAGGCACTGCTAATAGTGTCGGTGGTTCCTTTTCTCGGGGTACACCACCACGCTCAGGGGGTGCGCATGCACCCATGTGCATGGCCTACACGTCACCAGTGGTGGCTGGTTAACTGTACTGCAGGCAACTGCCATTACACATGTGTAACTTTCTACCCTAGGGTTTGTCCCACGCTAACCAGGTTAGTTAAACAAGAAATCAAGCCCCTAACCAACATAATTACATACTGGCTCTATCCTTAGAAGATCTAGGCCCCGCTCCCTGCTGGCAGTCCTCTCTTCCAACACTTGATGACCCTTGGAGTGGAGTGGGGAAGTTCTTCCTAACGTCCAACCAAAATGTCCCTGGCTCCTATGTCAAAGCAGTAGTCCCTGTTCTGTCCCCGGCTGCCACAGAAAATAACCTGTCACCATCTTTTCCTTAGCCACCTGCTTCTCCAGTTTGTCAAGTCATTCTGGATTCTAGCCCTACGCTCCAGTGTGTCAGCAGCTCCACCCAGCTTGGTGTCATCTGCAAATTTGCCAAGTGCACGCTCAATCCCATCCTCCAAATCACTGATGAAGATGCTAAACAGTGAAGTGAGCTTCAGTCCATATATCTTCTTTAGTCTATACAGGTCCACATCTGCCCTGCGTTCTGGACATCGAGACATTGATGACTACTCTTTCGAGCATGATGATCCAAGCAGTTATGTACCATCTAGCTATATTTTCATCTAGACAATATTTCTGTAGTCTTATAATAGGAATATCATGGGAGACAGTGTGAAGTGCCTTGCTAAAGTCACAGTACATCACATTCCCTCCTCCCCACATCCACAGAGCCCATCATGTCATAGAAGGAAATCAGGTTGCTCAGGCATGACTTGCTCTTCGTTAATCCTTGTTGACTGCTTTTGATCACCTTGTTCTCTTGTAGGTGCTTAAAAATAAATTATTTAATGATATGGTCCAAGATCTTCCCAGGTGTAGAGGTTTGTAAGATGTGGATGTTGCTTCCTTCATCACAAGGGTGCTGAGTGTAGCTAGCCATGTTTTGCACAAAAGGCATTTCAGAAAAAAGGACCACCCCTCAGAAACTTTTAGTAAAAATTGTTTAAACTTTATGTTTACAGAAATGTTCTCAATTTTTTCAGTCATCTGAATCAGAAAATCTGGGTTTTAGCAAAGAGAAACAAATCAGTAATTTATTGCAAGAGCAATTGGAATAAAAATGGATCCATGTTCAACACTTTCTTTTGATTTTTTTCCCCCAAAAATTATCTGCCTGTCTCTTCAACCACTTTCAGTGTTGAAAGCATAAATTCATTAAAGTGTGTGAGAGGCTTACATTGATAGGGAGCCTAAAGAGAGATTCACATGGGTCTTTATATGGTCAATATTCTCTTAAATGTGAATGAATTTGCCCAGCTCCCCTGTGTTATCATCTCCACTGTATAATGGAGGACACTGACACATGAAGGCAACAGCATTGTCTTTCTCCATTTGCAAAGCGATATTTGTTGCTGTATTTTCAGTGCTCTTGGAGCCAATGTGGCTCCTTTGTTTATTGCTCTGTCACAGCAGACAGCAGGAGCAATGTGCATCCGTAGGCACGTGTTTCAAGGTCCCTGTCTTGTGCATTAGACACGTGGAGAATTCTGTAGGGACAGTATTGACTAGTGCCATGTTCTCTATAGGAAAGCTGAGGCAAATAAAACATGTTCACGTTCTTTGATGTATCGAGTTAAAATCATGCTCACATTTTTTCAGGTTTCAATTTTGTAAGTTGTTTCTGTGCTAAAAACTATGAACAGCAGACAAGCAGATTTTGGCATTACCCAGAAAGGCAAGTAAACATTACTGACTAGTAAAATAGACAGAAATACAAAAGGAAATTTTTATTTGAAAATAAGCTATTTTCTCACTTAAGTTTCTTTCCTTTTGTCCTGGATAGGTTGGTCATAAACTAATGTATGTGGATAAAGTATTTGCTTTAAATCTCTACCTTGAAGAGCACAGGTTGAGTAATTTACTCTCTGGCAAAAAGATATGCTTAGAATATACATGTGCTCTCCACTGCCACTAGTAAGATGCTTCAGTGTTTTACTGGAGGCTTTATTTTCTGAAGGAGTGGTGTTTTTTATCATATGTACCTCCTTGGACTCATTATGCTACTAGGTAACACAAGTAAAAAGCATGCTTGAGTTTTTCAGTAGCTAGATCAGAGACCATCTAGGTGGTGCAGTTCACCTGGTGTGACTCTTTCACAGAGGCACAACTAAGCAGCTCTGCACCATGTGCATGGCCACACGTGAGGCAGGTGGCAGAGGCATAACAAGGCAAGCTGCTGCTGCAGGGGTTAACACAGAACCTGCCACTGAAATGTATGTTGAACAGCAATTTAAAACACAAAACTTAGCGGGTAGATGGACACCTCCCACAACAGCAGCTTCCCCTGGGAGCAAACCTCTGACTTGTACCAACCCCAGGCTACTGATTTGCTGCCCCTCCCTCCACCATCTGTCTTATACCTAGTGCTGCATCTGGCTGCTGGAGCATGGAAAGTGCAGTGTGCAGAGGGCTGAGATGGGAGTGTGAGGTGATCCTATGGCTACATTCTGGTGCCCCCACCCCACAGCTCCAGCAGCACCCAGGGATCACAGTCCACTCACCCACCTGTAGTTATGCTACTGTTCCTTCGTCTGAATCACCACTGAACCAGAGTTCCTGTGTGGTATTACAGAATATTCATGTCTATTCCTTAAAGATCCCCAGGTGCATTTAATGAGTGTGAGGGTACTAACCACACTGTTTGGCCAAATTCCAAATCAGGTAATCACCTTCCCATTGCAGATTCCAGGTACTCTTTGTTCTTTACTATTTTTACCAGTTATATAGTGACTTACTGTACGTAGCAGGGACCCAGGCTGGCCCTGCACTTACCAGGGCAATGGCTGCTGGGATGCTCCACAGCCTGTGGGATCCTGGGGTGTCCCAATGGCAGGCAGCGGGTGCACAGGCAGACAGCATACCCCCTGCATGCTTGCCCCTTGGGCAAGGCAGCAAGCAGCAGGTGATGTACTCCCCATGTGTCTGTCTCCTGGGCAAGGCTGAGAGCTGAAAGCTGGGCTCCGCTTGGGCCCATTGCCCAGCAGGCACAAAAACGAGGGCAGCACCAGCCCCAGAAAAGGGGAGGCACTGGCATAGGCACCAAGCCATGCTGCTTCCGTCTACTGGAGCCAAGGACATCTCATTGGAGACCAGTTCAGCCCCAGCTCCCATGGCAGGAATCTGCATGGGACACTGGATGCAAGATACCTGCAAGGGCCTCATGGGGATTCATAGTACCCATGGCCCCAAACTACCCACAGAGGTTGGCCTGATACAGGCCTGCCCTATGAATCAGGCTTGCAGCTGGAGGCAAACCCCAAAGAGCCACCTGCAGGGAAGGTGGAGCCATCTCCTCAGCCACCTGAGGAGAAGATGAATGTACACTACAAGGTCGAAGCTAGGCCCATGAGTTAATGACAGACAGGGCTATTTATGTTATATTGCTTTATTAATTTATATGCAGTACAGACGCCATTGGTGGCAGACCCCTGCCAGAGTAACAGGTCTTGGACAGCTCACATCCGTCCCAGACTGCTCTGTTTTTCTTCTCACGTCGGACCTTTCTTCTGTCATGTGAAGATGGGTTCCTAGGGGACCAGGTGCCTATCCCAGTACCCTCACAGGAACACCCAAGTGGAAAAGGCTGTGGTGTAGGAGAGATGGAGCCCCACAGAAGTTGCCTGGAAACTGAGATGTGTGCGCATCTCAACGTAGCCCACTACAGTCAGGTATTGCCTCCTGATATCCTTTTCATTAACAGCAAATTGTGACAGGTGGGATAAGAGGATGAAACACTCATTAAGAGCATGGCACCCAGGCCCCACCCCAGTGTAGCCCTTCGGCTCAGGTCCCACTACATTTACTAACTCCTGACAGAGGACCCCACAGCACAATACCAGGAGGAACTAAATACGCTTTTAAAGAAGCCACCTCCAGAAACACTGGAGAGAATGACTGCTTCCATTTCCTGAGAACTTAGGCCAGGCAACTTTTACTTATAACCCAATATCCACAAACCTGGCAACCCGGGACACTCCTTTTTCCCTGTCATTGACACTATTCGCTACGTTGGTACTATCCTGTTCCCATACACCACTGGAGCTCTCATCTATTTGAAAGACATCACTGATTTCTTAAAGAAACTGGGTTTCATTAACAAGCTTCCAGAAAATGCCGTATTAGCTACCATGG